CACAAATCCAGTTTTTACAATTCGTCTTTTTCGTCTGTAGTTTCGGCATAGACCCCGGGATATTCTTTATTTTCAATAGTTACACCTTTACAGCGTTCCTGTTGTATTAAAAAATCCTTTGCTCTCCAAGCTTGTTCACCGTCTTTAAACATAAATATTGCTCTATCATCATCAACCATATAGCGCTCCGCTTGTATATGATTATTCCATAAACTAGTTTGCCAAAGTTTAGTAATACTTTCTGCTTCATCCCTTGTTGGATTACCACCAACTGATACAAATGTCATAAGCGTACGACCTTTTTTAGAGGCTTTAAGTATTTCCTCTGGATTATTAGGATCAAGTTTTGTTAAATCAAGCTTTGCCTGAGGTCGCAAATGTTCTGGGAGTTCGTCAGCCTCTAACTCATCGTCGCCCTCCTAAAAAATTTTAAGACACTATAACATATTATAAAAATGTATGCATGGCGTATAATACCTCCCACTGATCTAATAAACGTTCGAAATCAGCATCAGAATAATCTCTAATATCTTTTTTAGCCCATTCCGGCTTTTCGCCGTCTTTTGATTTTTTGGCTAAAATTGTTGATATTGTGATTAATATCACAAATATTAATACTAAACGCATATTTTACACTCCCAGCTTATTCCAAACACAAAACTTTATTGATATACCGAAAAGACACACGTCACTATTGTCAAAACAAACAATTCACAATGGATTTAGAAGTACAATAAAATATTCACAGTACGTTAAAAGCGCATTTACTTTAGTGTCAATTTATATCTACAATTATTTATTGTTTCTTTTTTATTTCATCAACAAGTCAATCCGCCTTTTAATTTGATTAACAACCATTTAAACGGAATTATCATATTCAGTGTATATATCATTTATATTTCATCCATAAGCACCATGGGTAAATAACAGCGAGAATTGTTTTGGTAATGTCTCTCCCATCACTATCCTTTACTTTTATAAGTTGATTTTACTAATGGACATTAGATTTCTAATAGGAATAGTTTGATTTCTAACATTATATGGCTATGATTAATAAGATTAAAAAAATGGCTTAAACATGACTTTGTTATGTTAGCAGTGGCCGATTCAAAAAAGAGGTGCGAATATTTTACATGTTTTCGGAAAATAAAAACTGTTTTTGATTCACAGAACAATTATTTAAACAATAAACAATTTAAACAATTATTTTTCAATAATGTTTTTTTGCTATTGTTTAGATTCCAATTCTTTCTTTGTGAACTTAAAATTTGTGTATATATTTTTGAATTTTGTTTTATTTTATATGTTAATATTAGTCGTTTATAGTCTACATGACTAAACTTAATTCGACAACTATGCAGCAATATGTATTATTTTTCATACAAAATATATAAAAATATGTTAAAGAATTTGATAAGTATAAGTGTAAATATAATAATATAGCGTGTTCTATATTCTATATGTATAGTTTTGTATTCTGCTTTTTTTTCATGAAGTAATTCTAAAATAAAATTCTATAAAAGTGTGATTGTAAAATGTAAGAACAAATACGAAAAAAATTTAGAGTAGTATATAACATACTCTACTCTAAATGCGAACATATAAAAGGTCAATAACTGATGCATAATGTTATCTATTTGAATAAACCGATTTAAGGAAATTAACGAATTTTTGATTGGTTATTTTTTTGAGATTTTTCTTTTTTGAGATATTCACCATGTATATAGATGAATATTGAAATCTATTACTTACAATTTAGAAATTAAAATGGTATCAAAATAATAATGTATTTGCTTTCTTTTTTTTCTATCGAGTTCTTTACTAATAATAAGTCCATTAAAATTTTTATTTACATATACATTTACAATTTGTAATAATTCTGAGTTATGTAGTTATATAATATTATGTTAACGTACAGGAGCTCGCACTTACGTTGTTATTAATGCTACGTTACTTGTCTACAGTTATATTATCTGGTAGCGCTGAAGAAACAGCTGATAATTCGTATTTTTCATTTTCTCTTATGCGTATTTTCGTTACAAACATCAGTTAATCGAGAATTTTTGGGCCGTAAAGTGGTGTGGCATGTTGTGCCACTCAAAATTTTATATATTTTGTTAAAAATAAAAAATAATCGGAAAAAAGTTATATAAAAAAAAGTGAAGCATAAAATAACAATTAGATATTTAATAAAACAAAAAAAAATTGTTTATATATTGTGTTGGATATGTGAGAATAGAAAAGTTAAAAATATTTGCTGATGATGTCATCATTAAAAGTTCTCTTCCACAATAGACAAAATTGAACATATAAAAATTTTTTGTTTACAATTTATTTCTATATTAATATATGTTTATACGGAAAATTTAAATATATGACTATTTCGTAAACGAAAATTTAAATTACGGTTAATTACGCCGAAAGATCGATAACAAAACTCGGTGCTGACAGCACTTCACGTGTTTTTCGAAAGGCTTTGATAACGTAAAAATAAATTCGTCAAAATGGTTTTAGGAGCATATATATCTGATTTGCTAAACAAATACGCAAGCGAATATTTTTTAAATGTTGATCCAAAACAATTTCAGTTTGGTTTGCTTAAAGGAGGTAATTAAACTAAAATTTTAATACTGAAACATTCTTGTAAAATTAAAATTATTTTAATATACAATATGGGAGTGTATGTATCCCAATTTCGACCTTAACCTTGCGTTTTGAATTTTGTCTTGTTTTCAAAATATTTTCATTATCTATGAATACAGTTTCACAATTTGTTGTTGTTTTCTATTTTATTTTCTTTCCTTGGCATTCTTTCACACTGCATGTTGTTGATGAATTTCATCTGTTGCGTACATGCAACATTTCTAAACATCTGAAAAAACTACACCGTAAATATGCTTTTTTTCTTGATAACTGCAAATGTTTTATATTAAAACAGTTTTTAAATAAGTAACTTATTATATTGTATTTAAGATCTTATAAGTCGTAATATATGTTGAGTTCTTATTGTCATTCATATTCAACAAATATCGTCAGTGGTTTCTAATCTGCTAGAAATGAAAATAAGAAAACAAATCATTCTTCTTATCACAAGGCCTACAGATGCCGACTGCAGCACATACATACATATAATTAAAAGATATATTCAAAAAACAACTTAGATAAAATAATGATTTTCTGAATCATTTCAAATTTAATTAAAATTATATTATTTTAGATTGGTAAATAATATATTCAGTTTTTTTTTTTTAATGACGTAAGCTACTGTTTAAATGAACTAGAAACCTTGTTACAGTGCCAACTAGTTTAAACAATGCGATGAACTTTACTAGTTTGTTTTGTAACTCGTATTCACTCTCTTATAAATAGTGTATGCTATTTTGTCAATACTTATAAGTATATAATAAGTAATTATACTTACTAATTATAAAGTAATTATACTTACTTATACATTATGTAAATTCCATTAAAGGTTTCACTGACGAGTAACTAGTTAGAAAAATCTGTAATATGTGACTTATAATGATATGACTCTCACAACTTTCAAATATCAGAAGGTATCCATAGTAGTTTATGTCATATAACACAAGAAATGGTAAACA